CAAATGGTAAAGAGAAAGGCTAAGTCTGAGATAGTCCCATGTACCATTACCAAAGGGTCCATATATTTCTAGTGCCAAAGGAAGGGGAATTAGTTGCAAAGCTGCCCTGGCTACCTGAAAGATCTGAGAGAAAGGTCATGTCAAAAAGTTTGAATGTGCTTCAATTAAGTCCAGTATCTAACTTTGTTAAGTTCCTTATTGGTGATTCTTAATACAAAATGTGACTCGGTTACATTTTGATGTTTGGCAGAATCAAGCAAAGGGAAGGAAGCTTAAAGGAAGAGTATGTTGAATCTGATCGCGAAGATGGATTTCGATCGCATGGTTCGAAGATCGGAATCTTGAACTTCTACTTAGGAGTTATGATAGATTGCTAGGAAATATGTAATAACATAGTTTACATTTAAAGTTTCATTGTAAGGAAAAGTTTTCCACATTTTATAAATAAATATAATTATGTTTTACTTTATTCTATATCTCCTTGCAATGACATTTATGGAAAATTGATGTTTGTATGTTTTTAGCAATATTGGAAATATGAATTTGATTCTTTCATTTGTGGTAATGTCTAAATTTACCAAATAAGGAAAGATTCTCATCACCCAAGCTTTCAATTAGATCGAAACTTGGAATCATGCAATTTGTATAGTATGATGAATGAGAATTTTCATCTTTGGAAAATTAAGACTAATTCCTTGTTCACATGTATTTGTGAGTCAAGTGAAGGACTAAGGGATCAAGTACACATTCGTGTGCATTGGTCAAGTCCAATACAAAAGATCGATAAGACTATTCGTCATGATTTACAAAAGTTTAGTAAATATGGTTATACCTAATAGTTTAAGTATAATTCCGAAACATTGGAAAAGTTTCGATGTATGGTAGAACGAATTAGTAGAATCAAATTAGGTAGAAAGATAAAAGTTTTTCAAATCTAAAAAGATGGGAGAGTACTTTAGTACCATGTTTTGTGATCATCTTAATGATTAAGAAACCATATCACAATTGGTTCTCTAAGGACAACTTAGTGCATTCCTATGGCTAAGAAGAGGAATCATGAATTTTTGAAATGGTTAAATCAACAAGATGAGTCATACTTCGCTCCAAAAACAAGTTTTAGAGTCATGCTCCAAGATTGTAATTTGAGTGACACATCTTAAAGAAAGTTTATTAACACTTGTCAAATGTAAAGTAAAATGTGTCCTACTCTTGTACATTTGAAATTGGTAATTAAGTTGTGATGTTTTGGATAAAATAGAGACCAACTTGGGCCAATTGTGTGAAGTGTTTGTCTTAATAGGAATCCACACTATCTCTTAAATATTTGTTTGTCAAAGAATGGGTCTTGGCAAGAGAGTCTTATAATCAAGAGGACAGTGGGAGTCTAAAAGAACCTAAAAGAATTTCAAGATCTAATCAAGAATAAAACCTATAGTTTCTCACTAGCTCAGGACTTGAGGTTTATAACCTATCATGTTGACATATTCCTATTTCTATGCCCATTCCAGTTAAATTTGGCTTTGCATATGAGTTCTGAGATTTCTCAATTGGTTGCATAACAACTTGGAAGCACTGGTAGACTTTTGTGCTGCTAGGTGGCAAGAAGTTAAGACTGCATAAGTTCAATCCATATGAGTTTGGATTTGTGACTAACCTTGTCTTGTGATTATGGTTTTGACAAATTCACATGGATAGGAACACATAGTCCATAAAATCTAAGTGTCATAAGGTTTGTCTCCGATTCATGAAAATGATGGTGAGGAAGCGCTTTCTCTAAGTGATTTTAGGTAGATAGGAATTGTGATATTTGCATTCTCAAAGTCGTTAGTGGAGCGTGTGTGGTTAACCGACACACTAACATGAACTTGTGAGGAATAGCAAAGGTCTAAACAATTGAAACTATGATTATGGCATTCCTTTTCATAGTTCTGAAATTGTTTAGACACATGTGTGTGTTATCTAAGGAAAGGTGTATGATTTTGATAAAGTTTTATCAAAGCATCTCGTATCAGAAGTCTGAACTTTGGTAAGAAAGTCAATAAAGTATTGATTTCTAGAAGTCCAGCTGATTTTTGAGTACATGTCAAAGCTAGTGCGAGCATAAGTGTTATGATAATAATCTCATGTTAGTGGGAGCATGATAATTATGATAAGTGTTGCAAGTTACCAATGTTAATTATAGAAAACAAAAAGTTTCAATTGGGAAAAGTTGTTTTGCTATAATTAAGGGAGAGGAAATTATACTTCATTTCAATTCTAAAAGCTTAGATTGAGATTTTAATCATCTTTAGTCAAGGATATATATGAATTTTATGCTGGAATGGATCAACTTAAGGAAATTCTATATATATTGCGTTCTCAAAATTTGATTATGATTACGGCATCCCTCTTCATAGTCGAATTATGAAAACATGGCAAATAAAAATATTGTAGCAAAATACTGGTCTAGAATCATGTCTTTATGTGAGACATCATGAATCGTATCCTATATGCTTCGGGTTTATGATCGATTGCATGTGCTATAATTTTTATCCTTTCTAAATTTTTCTAAATGCCTAGTGGCATTAAGTGGGGAAAAGGTCTAGAATTGGATATGACTAAAATGATTAAGCAATTGTCAAGGACAATCTAAGGTTTACCAAAGATTGGTTGCTCAGGGAGAGTTGGAAGTATAGTGTTAATTTTGGAAGGACCATATTGATATATTCTGAAAGGAGGCAACTCTTGTTCAGAAGTGATAATCAAAATGGGAATGTGGAAATGTTGCCATAGGTGGATGTTATTCATTAGATTTCCGTAAGATTAGAAAACTTAATGCAAGAAGGATGTTCAAAGCCATGTAATTTGAATTTGAGACTTCGTTTCCAAGGAGTTGATCTCCATTGGAATACTCTATAATATCTGTTTACAAGTCTTTGTGACTTTGTGCATAATCATTACAGAGGATCAATGCATATAAGTTTAAAATCTAACAGATTTCGGTAAATGGCAAAAATTTGGAATTCTTGCATTTGCAGTAAGGATTTGGGATTGTGAAGTGAGAATCACTGGAATTATGTTTAATTGATCTATTTCACAAAGTAAAGATCATAGACAAACTTAGTGTGCATACTTGGTGTATGGCATAACTAATGTTTGGACAAACATAATATGAATACTTGGTGTATGGCATGACTATTGTTTGGATACACATAGTGTGCATGCTTAGAGCATGGCATGGCTAGTGTTTTGATTCAAGTATAAAGTTGATTAGTTGAAACATTATACAATGAATAATGTGTAATCAATATAGTGATAAATAAAAGGTGTTCTGTTTATACTCATAAGTTCTGAGACCATATTGGATTCGATTATTCTTGTGTTTCACTTTGCATGTTTTGACTTCCAGAAAAACTAGGTCATTCTTCCCGAATGACTAAGTTATTCAAACCATCCACAGTCAGTCATATGTTGGAAGTAGATATGAATCAAGACTTTCATGAAGTTGGCTTGTAGATGTCTAAGATGTTGGACATAGCAAGAGTTGCTACAACACTCATGAGTGCTCATAGGTTTTGAGTATTGGATTCAACCCACGCTCATTTGAATCACTTCATGGATTTTATCACGAGTGATCATGAGACGATAATATCTTATATTCTTCAAACCTAGAGATATGAGTTGTTGACTATGAGTTGGTCATACATTGATTGCACGAAAACACATTGGTAACTTGATGTTATAAAATGTGCCTTTGTGTATGATTCAACAAGTAGTAGAACAAGCATGTGAGTCGAACTTTATCTATTCCTTTTACCCTTGAAGGGATAGAAGCAATATCTGTGGGCCCTCAATGATTTATTGATGACACCCTGAAGTGCTTGGCCAAGCCTGGACTAATGTGATTTGTTCAATTAGTCGGTCGTCATAAATCAGAAATTGGGAAACAACAAATGGACAAAGAGAATGATTATAATCCATGTCTCAGTCCATATGATATCTAGAATAAAGGAATATATGATCCCTTATCTAATGGACAAGTCATTGACTAAGGTCAGAGTTCGACAACGGTTTAAGAGCTACGATTGCTAGTCGGGTTTTGGAGTCATACGCAATAATAGTTTTAGATTTATCCAAGTGGGATATTGTTGGATTAGTGTCTAAGTCCATAACTATAATTGGTATGTACTTGACCCAATTTGGCATGGTCCATTTAGGTTGCACTTCATCGGAACAATTTATATGGATAGTCTTTTGAGAATAGTATGTTTATGATTTATAGTAATATATTATAAGTTCTAATATATTAATATGGAATCATGTTATTTAATTAGTATTAATCAAGAATTAATTTATAATTAAATTTGTGATAAAAAGGAACTAATTAAATATGGACTCTTATTTATAGTATGTGCCAAGTTAATTTAGATTGGGCTAAGATTGCATGGATAGCTACTAGGAAAACAGACTTTTACAACACTCATTGCGCATCGTAAAAGGCTCAGACGACGCGCAAATGCGCGTCAAGGAAGACCCTGTCATAAAGAGAGACGACGCGCAATGCGTGTCAAGGAAGGCCCTATCATAAAGGAAGACGACACGCATTCGTGTGTCGTAACCTTATGACACGCGTGTTAATGACACGCAATGCGTATCAAGAAAGCCCCTGTCAAGAAAGGTCATGTCATAAATGAAGATGACACACATTTTTGCGTATCATAATTTTAAATGTTTAAAAAAAATATTATTTATAGATTTACTAATTTTCAAATTAAATAATACATTAAAAATCTCATAATATAAAATAAAATACCATAAATAACAAAGATAATTCATTTGACTAATATGTCAAATACAAATAATTATTCCAAAAGTGAGTAAATGTTATAAAAAAAATGAACTCATTTATATACAATTGCATCATCTAGCTTACTATGTACCAACAACTCTCTGTGTGTTTACTTTTGCTTGAGTCTCGTTTCCTCCAAAGCTTCTATCCATGCCAAAATATGATATATTGAGTCTCGTTTCAAGAATCAAAATCACCTTCAATCACCCAATTAAACTCTAATGTTGGTAGACTGAGACTTCTAGAATAAAGTTTACACCCATCACCTTCAATCACCCAATTAAAACTATAGATCTTCTGTTGTTTGAAAGAAATTGGTGTTTGTAATCTATGAACAAAAAACGAAAAGACCAAGGTTAATATTTGCTATATAGAAAGCACAACTGGACATATGAATATATAATACGCAACATAAACATTTTCATGAAAATGATATAGACAAATAAGTAAGAGTGATGATATTGATACCTTAATTACATCATTGGTGAACGAAATTTTAATTAGTTGATAGCAATACTTGACCTCTAAAAACAAATAAACAAAGGATCGCATCATAATTAGCTCAATGAAGTAATTCTTATACATTGTCTCTACCAAAAGATTCATCATGGAAACATTTTTGTTGGAAATAACTAAACAAAAACCTAAATACTAAGCAAAAAATTATAGTAATCATCATTTAGAGTAGGATGAGGAGTCTGATCAGGCCATATGAGACCATTTAAGCAGAAATTTAAGTCATTTGGTGTATCTCCAAAGTCACCTCAATATGCCCAGTATTTTCTACCATTTGCATTTTCCTTGAGTAACCCCTAAAACCAAATGCAAATATTTAGAACTACCCTTGCACCACATTTACAGTTTTATAAAATTTAAGAGATGAGTTTCAAACCTGGTCAACCTAATCCCAAATAAACCCTCTTTGCAGACCAAATGTGCTATCGATTGCTTCCCAATATACATAGTGTACAACTCTTGATGGATCATTCCCACGAATCCACCTTGAAATACATTAAATTATAAAGTGAAAGATAACTTTGATGTAAATTATAAAGTGAAAGATAAAGTTGATGCAACACAATTCGAATCGTATATATACCAGCAAGAGCAGCATGATTTGGTCCATATCTTGCTTTATTTCCTAAAGACCAAGAAATTATGCATACATGGTTTTTGTCTCTTTACGCCTCTTATTACAACTGGATGCTCATTAACAAGCAACTGTTTTGGAGCTTTTGAAATTTGTTGTATGCCTACTTGACATGATTCACTGTCGATAATGTTGTTTGATGCATCTTTCAGGGTGACAACTAATGTATACGGGTTTGGCTGCATGCAACATAATCCAATGTTATTAGATGAAGAGGTGAAAAGAAAAGTAATTTGTTTGATTAAAACTATAACTTTAAGTGATAAAGACATTTGAGTGATTATAATAAAGTTTGTTATTTATGTTCATCTTTGTGAAGATTGTGAAGAATATACAAAGAAGCAGATGACAAGAATATACAAATGGAGTAGCTTAACCAGTCCAAACTAGTTGAAATTGTCACCATTTTGCTCTTCTCAAACATCTTTACTAGAAGAATCATAACAATTACATGACCAACTTTTGTCTTCAATTCATCAAGCAAACTTATCTTCATCCATTTAGGTCGCTCCTTCAATCCAATTAAATTATATTAATTAATTATCTATCCCACATCTTTTACACAAATAAACTATTTAGGCTGTGTTTGTTACATCCGACATGACAACCTTTTGGTACATCTTTTTGTCCCATTGGCATTGGAATCAGTGTCAAACACAGTACCATGTTCTGTCTTGTCCTATTCATTAAGGTCGCAGTCGAACGTGCACCAAACACAGTAAACACAATACACTCTATTCTATCACATGGTGTCCCACTTTTTGATGAAAAAAATATTGCAATTTTTGTCTTACTGTAATCAGTTATGGTCCCATTGCAAGTCCAATACAGGTCAAACACTGTACAAAAGCATGCTATAATGTAAAGTAAAAAGTGCTAAAAAAGGATTTAGTCTCAAAGCAAACATCCCAAAATAGGGAAGAACCCTTTATAGCACGATCATCCTCTGGTGCTATACTTAGGGTTGTAAACGAACCAAACGAACACGAACAAGGTCTTGTTCATGTTCGTTCGTTTAAGTTAGCCGAACAACAAACGAACACGAACGGATAAACGAACGAGATTTTCTTGTTCATGTTCGTTCGTTTAACAAATTACTTTGTTCATGTTCGTTCATTTATGTTCGTGAACATGCTAAACGAACATAAACGAACAAACATAAATGAACAATGATAAAAAAACACAATTGAACATATATGAACATAAATGAACATATAATATAGCAATATAATAAAAAATAATTGAATATAGATGAATATAAATAAACTTAAACGAACGAACATAAACGAACGTAAATGAACATCATAAACGAACGTTCACGAACATAAATGAACGAACGAGATCATTGTTCATGTTCGTTCATTTAACTAAACGAACGATTATTTTTGTTCATGTTCGTTCATTTATTAAATAAATGAACATAAACGAACTTCCCGCCGAACAGTTCACGAACGGTTCGCCGAACGTTCAGTTCGTTTACAGCCCTAGCTATACTATCTGGTGCATTACTGATGAATAATCCGTACAAACCCACTGCAAATATCAGCATAACTATCTCAGCAAGATACACATCTGCATTCAGATTTTAAAAATTTAAGCAAAATTTTAAATACCTTTACTTGAAAATAATACAAATTAAACTTCAATAGTTACTGTTTTTTGGTATTCACATTTCTATTGGGGGGGGGGGGGGCAAAATCTAGAAGCTAGTAGACTCACCTATTGCTTCAACCAAACGCATCACCATTTTCCCTGAAAGAGATCCTTTCAAGCAGCTTGTCCAGTAGATTTTATATGCATCAGCAACATAAACACAACCCTAGGAACATCCAATAAAGTCAAGATCACTTTGATTCATCCAAACATAACAATAGAAACACAGAAAACAGAATTACAAATAAATTTACTAAAATAAATTAGTGTATAGAGAATTATTACATCAAGAAAGCATAGCAAGGAGCCAGCTAATGAGCCTGCAACAGCTAGAAGTGCACAAAACCGGAAGTCAAATATCACATGTTCAGTAGCAGACATGGAAAAAAATGGATGTATTACAAGACTGCAAGAGAATCCATGGTCATTGATTATAGATAATTACATTATGATTGATACTAATTTCATGGACTACCTCGTTCTGGAGGAATTTGGTGAAGAACCTCTTAGCTTCAATACTGTCACCATAGTTTTAACAGTTTCACCACTTTTTTTTCTATCTTTGGCATTTCTACAAACACGTTATGTGCATATTTCTTAAGCATGTTCTGAACCTCTACAACCCAATTGTTAGCATCATTCCAGTCAATTCCTTTCTTAGCAACCTCTCTGACTTCCTCCCTTGGGGGATCCAACATTCCAACCTTAAAGTAAAAAAAACAGGAACCCAACATTTTTTGCTTTCTGATACAAACCTGCATTGTTCCTCAAACATTAGTTTATGAACAACTGTTACAATCATACATCATACAGACTAAGCTTTTTCCAAGCAGGTCTGAACAATCATAATATAATCACAAAATATGTAAATAAAGAAACAAAGATATACAAATAGAAAAATAAAGATTATGGTACTTGTTCAGCCTTAATTACATGTCAATCGGAGTTGAGGGCTTTGAGAACTGGAATCGGGCCATATTGGAGCTGGTTAACCATATTTCTTCTGACATTTGTGTGCATAATACTCGAAATTTAGAAACCTTAGATGTATAAACCACGCTTTGTGAACCCCATAGGAAAAGATAAGGAACTCATAATTCATGTGTGTTTGCGAAGGAAGGGGGGGGAACGAAAAAGTGTTAGAATCGAAGTCTGTTTTGATAAAATACAAAGATGATGATGGCGATTTGTTGACTATAACATGTACCTATGATCTCAGATTAGTTGAATCGATTGCAGATCGCCTTGTGCTTCCAAATAAAGAACCCTATACCTAAAAAACCAACTTATTTGGGGTTTTTAAATTGCATATTGCCGAGGTTACCCCTGAGCAGGAACCACCATTGTTAGAAGAAGTAGAAGAAGACGAAGTGGAAGAAGAAAAGTCGATTGAGATCGATAGTATTGAAGTAGAAAAGAACGGGTCCCATTCCAATTTCGAAAGTGAACAAAATCGGAAAAGGAATATGAAAAAATACCCGATGATCCAGAGTTGAAATGGAAGATTGATTGTTTGGATTCGCTCAGTTATTCTGAACCCTCCCACGTACTGGGTTGAGAGAAAACGAGAGAAGCGGAAGCTTGAAAGAAAATAAAACCCTAGCACGTGCTAGAGAGAAGGGAGGTGGCGATGGCTTAGGGTTTACAGAGAGACGAGAGGTAGAGAATGAAGGGAGATCTAGAGGAGAGAGTATCAGAGAGGGGATAGTGGATTGCAAGGATGAAAGATAGATAGAAGATAGAAAAAACGAGGTGGTTTTCAAAAAATTTGGGATTTCGTGCCCTCCGTGTTTTTTTGGGATTTCGTGCCCTCCGTGTTTTTTGGGATTTCATTAAAATTATAAAGCGATGGGTACAGACGACGCGCGTTTAAGATAAAGTGCCCTCCGTGTTTTTTTTTTCTCTTGAGACACTAAATTAAGGGCACGCAATAATGCGTGACGCAAATCCTTAAATTTGTTGGAGAGATAACACTATTTTAAGGGCACATCCTTTTGCGTATCATTGATCAGTGCGTGTCGTAAAAAGCGCGTCATTAAAGGTATGTTTTCTAGTAATGGATAGTCCATGGAGTTTTTAACCCATGGATCCTATGAAAATGAAAGGTTATGGGTATTAGGGTTTACATGGATGAAACCCTAATCCTTCATACTATATAAAGAGGTCTTTGGCACATGAAATGACACTAGTGTGTGAGAAAAACAAGAGTGGGCCAATTTCTAGTGTGCTTACTATTCTCTCAAGTTTCCAAGGTGTTTTTGGTGATTTGTGATTCCACTTGAGGCTTCCATACTATTGGGGCTAATCTCTTAAAGTTCAAGACTTCAAGCTTCATCAAAAGGTATGTCATCTAACTAGGCTTTTGTAGTATAGTTGCTTCATATTATGCTAGTTAGGATTAAACCTTGGAATATCAAATATTTGCATGTATAATAGAGAAAACATAGATCCAAGGTTTATAGGGTTGCATGTATATCATAAGAGTGTTAGCATGCTCAAAACCCATCATTCCAATCTACAGATTTACCCATGTGTAAAAAATGAAAATGATCAGGGCATGCCAGCTTTGGAACAATTGTAGAAACACTAGAAATAGCATCTTATTTTTCATTTTTTATTCGAAATAGCATTATACTTAGCAAGGTACTATTACCTTTAATAAAAGGACCAACTACCATTTTTCAAGATTTCCCTTGTTCAAAATTATAGTTTAAAAAAGACGAAAGAAACTTTTCTTTTCTGTTCGTGTAAGTAGTCTAAAAGAACCAATTTAGGTGCAAAGTGAAAGTGTTAAAGCAATTAATTAATTATATGAAGTAAAAATTAAACAAATAACAATGTTTCATAATGAAATGACCAAAATGCCCTTTTCCTAGATTTCCCCTGTTCAAAATTATAATTGGCTTCCATTATGGGTTAAAAATGCTTTTTAAACATATAAGTATCAAATCGACACAATTTTAGCAACCTAATTTTCTTTATTTTAATACTTGTTTTAAAACATATAAGTAAAATGTTATAAGTGTCATAAATCTAAAAAAGTAGAAATAAATAAACAACAAATTCATAAAATACAAATAAGTTTCTTTTTTTCAAATTACCGTTGTGTAAAAAATAAAAATGTATATAGTATATATTGAAAGCATGACAAAGTATATAATGTCAACTCATAATGTATACGTGGAGTTGGATAAATGGTAGATCCCATAGTTGGGTAACAATAATTAAACAACGATTAAACTACATCTATAATCATCCTAAGAGTTATATAGTTTGATCCCATACTTAAAAAAGAATGGTTTAGTTTTGTTTCATTTTGTTTTTTTTAACACCTAAAATTTCATTTAGACCTACATAGAAAAAAAAAAAAATACAAAAATGGGTTTTGCAGCCAATGAATCTAAGTTGTGACTACCTCATTATTTCTATTAATGAACCAATTAATCGAATAATCAACAATCGTATCTTTTCTTTGCTTTTCATTTCCAAACACCATCAATTTTCTGAATTGCCAAAGCACCCATTAGATAGTCATCATAATTTCTTCCAACACCATCTTTTTCCCATGAGTCATATTGAGATTATGAATCCAATCTCACATCAAAATTCGAATTCCATAAAAAAATGTCGTGAATTCAAAATTGTACTTTATATTCAGGCTAAAAAGAAATCACAAAGAATTCAAAAAAGGCCATTAGTGATTGATGTGGAATCTGGTATATACTACTACTAACATTAACATAAACAAATACATAACATTTTCTTAATTTGATATATATTATATGACAGGCGCATGAAACAAAAAACAGATACATGAAATCAGATTTTTTTTTCAATATTTCAGATGGCTTGAGGATATCGAAAATGAACCAAAAAGCAAAGCTATATTTCAAGTCCAAATAAAGCAAATCGACAACAACCACATTTCCATCCAATCCCTTCTTCTTCCACATATCACTTCAAAATAATTCAATTTTGATAGAAAGGGTAAAATCGTAAAAAAAAAAATTGATTCGGAATATGACTAGTTTTGGGGTAAAAGAATCAATCTTATAGAACCGTTATGGTTTGTATGAAAATCAGATTAGAAAAAGCCATTTAGAAAAACTTATACATGCACCATTTTTTTGCATTTTGACAAACTTGATGTAACATGTTTGTTTAAGGGCAGGGGCAGATTTGTCATGTATTTATGCTACAATACTATTAGAAAGTTAAAATTGTCTCTAACAGGGACCAAGCAACCCAAATATAATGAAATTAAAAATTTTAAATGTAAAAGAAAATGTATTTCTTTGACACATTTAATCGAACACCATATATGCATTCCAACATCAGCAAGGATTTGAATATAATAATTACATGAGAAGTCAACCAATGAAGAAAAAATATAAGATAAATAAAAAATATGAGCACATAAACAATAATCAGATAATTTGCGAAAGAAGTTCATCATTAGATCAAAATAATTTGCTAACCTTATGTAGATGGTGGTGTATTCGACTATGATGATGCAAATTAAAGGTTTGTAGATGTTAGTCTATATTATTAGCTTGTTTGTTTATGAGCCCTTTTTTTTTATCTTTTGCCCATTAGGGTTTCTGTCTAGCTAGTATTTATATCCGCTTTATTCCTTGTAGTCTTTATGCTTTTCTCTGAGAACCCATGTAATTTCTCTTTGATATAATCATATGACAATGTTATCATGGTATCAAAGCTGTGACACGTTGTTAGAAGTCTTTGTAGCAGTCAGTTGTGGAGTGGATCGAACTCCGCGGTGAGTTCGCTTGCGGGTTACGAGGGGCAGCGCGCCACCATCGGGGGTTACTATAGCATGTCGTTTCCATTCATTATCACTGGTATTCGTCTTTTTTGATATGTTAATTCATTGCTACTATTAATTTATTGTTGTTGTCGGTTTGTTGCTACTGTCCGTTCGTTGTGACTGTTGGTTCGTTGCTGTTGTTGGTTCATAATTGCTTCGATTGCTTCAGCTGGTTTGTTACTCCTTTCATTCTCAGATTATTATATTGTTATTGTGGTTATTCTCAGATTATTATATTGTCATTGTGGTTATTCATTCACTATCAACATGAGTGGAAAGGATAATTCCCTTCGGTCAATCAGTACTCGTTTGGATGGAAAGAATTATACGTATTGGAGTTACGTTATGAAGAACTTCCTTCGTGGGAAGAATATGTGGGGCTATGTCACTGGGACTAAAGTCAAACTCTCAGTGCCTCAAACTGAGAATTTTGATATGTTGCTTGATGCTTGGGAGACTGATAACTCCAAGGTCATTACTTGGATCAATAACTCTGTTACTCAATCCATTAGTATGCAGTTGGCTAAGTATAATACAGTAAAGGAAGCTTGGAATCACTTGGAGAGACTGTATACTCAGTCCAATTTTGCTAAACAATACCAATTAGAATATGATATTCGTGCCCTTCAACAGAATGACCAAAGCATTCAAGATTTCTATGCTGCTATATCTGATCTCTAGGATCAATTGGCTCTTACTGAATCTAAAGAGTTAAAAGATTTCCAGCCTTACATTGCTAGGAGGATTACAACACTTGGTTCAGTTCTTGATGGCCTTGCGTTCTGATTTTGAAGGTCTTCGTGGCATAATTCTTCATCGCTCTCCTCTTCCTTCAGTTGATTCAGTTGTCCATGAGTTAATTGCAAAAGAGAATCGTATCAAGTCCCATGCAGATAAAGGGTTTAAAGCAACCTCTACTCCTACTCTCACTCCTACTGTGCTTGTTGTCTCCTCCAGTCAATCTCGACAACCTTAAAGAGTCGCTTATGATGAGTGTGCATTCTGCAAAAAGAAGAATCATTAGAAAGCTCAGTGTCCATTGTTAGTCAACAAGGGTAAATATGGTCAATATCATTCATGGAAACAAAATAGGTCTGATCAACAGAAGCATTAGTCACGTTCCTCTGGTACTTCTCCATAGACCCCTCGTCCTCCACAGTTTGTTGTTGCTGCTGTTCCACCAGT